CCCCAAAACCCCAAAACCCCAAAACCCCAAAACCCCAAAAAGGTACGTATTCATTGAACTTAAATTTTTGATTGGCAGAAAGCTTAAAATTATTAACCCATACATTTAAAACTAGTTGTGGAATATAATTCGGTGAGCTCACTTGGGAATTCTTTTGAATCTCCATGCGGGTTAAAAATAGACGCCTTGGCAAAGAATTTTGGATTTGGAATTTCCATTATCTTTTTCACCGAAATATCCTCTCTTTTAATATTGAAAATTTGATCATAAGTAATTCTTGCATGAGAATGAGTGCATCTTCCAGCCATGTTGAGCAATTGCTCCTTCCTTATTGTCTGAAGACATCCTTGAGTTCTTAATAAATCTGAGGTCATAATTGCCTTATAGATTTTGGATCTTGCGTCATAAAGTGTTGAAATCCCTTCTCTGACTTCTTCTTTCAATTTTTTAATATGATCCATGTAGTTCACTGTGAAATTCAAGTATTGCTCATTAGAGAAATTAAAAAAAAAGAGTCTTCTCTATAAAGTTTCTCAAATGAGGATCTGGATATTTTTCATGCCTCTGAAATTTCCTTAACTTCTGGTAGCTTTCGAATTCGGTCTTTGATTGAGGAATAGCTTTATCACAAGCGTAAAGGTCTAACATGGTACCCCCACAAAACATGTTGTTAATAATCTTATCAAAAGCCTTGTCTAATGTGTTAATTTTCCTGGTTCCAAAAGGCCTACAAGATTCACTTGTCTTATTTTGAATTTGGAAAATATCTTTCTCGCTTGGCATTCATCTGATCATATTCATACATTCACTGGGAAGTCAGACGATATTTTTAGGATCATTGAGATCAAAGGCAGGTTCTTGACTAGAACCTGCAGATTTCTGTGCTAGGGCTTTATAGAATCTCACTTCCTTAGCAAGCTGTTTTATTTGCCCTTCAAGATACTTATTTTTCTTCTCAAGATCATCATAATATTGTTTCTTTCTCTTTCTTGCAATGCGAGCTCTTTCGCTATTAGATAGTACTTGCTTGGTGCCAGATTCATCTTCGTTTCTACTCTTAGATTCTCTCTTTAAATGAGCCTTGACAGTTTTTCCAGAACCTTCTTTTTCGGTTGATTCTTTGAATTCTTCTTCGTGATTAATCTTACTTTCATCTTTGAAACCAAAGTCTCTTAATCGACTCTGGCTTCTCTGAGCAGCATCTTCAAATAAGAGGTAGTCAGGAGGGTTATACCTGAATTCTTCAGGTTCAATGACATCATTCTCTTTGTTTGGGTGCAAATTAAACTTTTGGTTAAAGTGATCGATGTTAATTTGACTACCCCATAAGCCTGATTGGTCAAGTGCCTGGGAAGAATCATTATCACAAATTGCCTTAGAGGCTCATTCAAAGAAAGGCTTGATCTCTTTTCTCTGGGGATCTTCGAAGTATCCTCCAATTGATAAATCAAATGCACTGTTTCTATCCTCCATTGCTAAAAATTAATAGGTATCTGAAGAACTTTTCTATATATGCTGTGATGAGGGGTTTTGGGGTTTTGGGGTTTTGGGG